GCTCAAGTGTTAACATTGGGTGGTTGTTAACAGTTCGACAAACCCATGACTGAAAATATGAGCTTTAACATCAAACTTACACTTTTAAATATGATTCCCAATGACGTCACGTGATAAGGAAATACTTCTCAAACTCACGTTGCAGCGCCATCTATGTTCGTTTTTCTTTTATAAATCTGTTCCACATAATTATTTTTATCATATTTGTACCAACTTTACAGTGTTTATATCAGCCCTGTATATAAATCACTACTTGGTTACAGAGCTTGATGAAACACTGCAACAACAACAAACGTTTTCAATCGTATAAACGCTATTACCTATGGAAACCAAGAATACATTCGAAGTAGTCTTAGCATCTCACGTGTGATCATATTTTAGTGAAACATTTTAGCTTATTTTATTATCAAATGTTCTATGTTTTGTGTCTTTGATTTTCATAATTCTAGGAATAAAGTTTACAGGGTTAATAAATATTTTGTTGACTCTGTTGAGAAAATGGTGATTTGGTTTGTATTTAGCGCAAAGCTACACGAAGACTATCTGCGTTAGTTTGTTTGTAATTAAGCATAAAGTTGCACCATGGGCTATATGTGCTCTGCCCACCACGGGTATTGAAACCCGAATTCTAACGTTGTAAGTCCGCAGACATGTCGCTGTGCCACTGGGGGCATCTGCATTAGTTTGTTTGCTTGTTTGTAGTTAAGCACGAAGCTACACAATGGGCTTTCTGTGCTTTGCCCACCACGGGTATCGAAACCAGGATGTTAGCGTTGTAAGTCCGCAGACATACCGCTGTGCCATAATCGAGCAGTGATTGACTAGAGGGAAGGTAGCTAGTCATCACTCCCCACCGCCAACTCTTGTACCAACGAATAGTGGGATTGAGTGTAACATTATAACGCTCCCATTGCTGAAAGGGCGAGCATGTTCTCTGACGAGATTCGAACCCGCGACCCTGAGATTACGAGTCGAGCGCCCTAACGAAAAAACAAAGAAGTTTTAGTATTTATTCACAAATCAAAGTTTATCTTACAAATGAAAACAAACACAAAATCTTCTAATCAAAGTTCCGTGAGTGAGTAACAGCGGATAGTTTGATAATTTGTACTCGTTTTCTGGATGGCCTATTCTAATATAACCTTGGACACCTAAAACTTAAATCCGGCACGTGCACAGGATTGCCTCAAGTTCCACGTTGCATCACGCCATACCAATTAGAACACAACGTTACACAAGACTGCGTTCGTTATTCGAGGCCCGGCATGGCCAGGTGGTTAGGGCGCTCGACTCGCAATCTGCGGGTTCGATTCCCCGTCCCACCAAACATGTTCGCCCTTTCAGCCGTAGGGGCGTTATAATGTGACGGTCAATCCCACTATTCGTTGGTAAAAGAGTAGCCCAAGAGTTGGCGGTGGGTGGTGATGACTAGCTGCCTTCCCACTAGTATTACACTGCTAAATTAGGGACGGCTAGTGCAGATAGCCCTCGTGGAGCTTTGCGCGAAATTCATAAGAAACCAATCGTTATTTGAAGTACTCACAAGCATCCAATATCATAGTTACCATCAAAATTCTTAACCTGGTGTCTGTTATTCTGAGTAATGCTTTTATACGCACCCAGGTGGGGTAAAACAAGAGAGATTTTTGCTGTAATTGATACATAACTTTCGCTGCTTATCAACTTAGAGACTATGTTGGATACCCCGATCGGCACATACAGTAACAAAAGTTGGTTTATGAGGTGCCATTAAAAACATAAAATCGAAATAGTATTTCGTGGTTTTCTCAGATAAGATGATTTCCGCGCAAGTATACGAGAGGTCCGAACAAGAAACTTCCTGAGTTATCTGAATCTGAAAATTTTATCGAGTTTTAAGAGATTTGTTTGTTTGTAATTAAGCACAAAGCTACACAATGGGCCATCTGTGCTCTGCCCACCACGGGTATCGAAACCCGGATTCTAGCGTTGTAAGCCCGCAAATATACCGCTGTGCTACGTGGGGGGGGGGGCGTTTTAAGATGAGCGATGAGTAAAATGACTAGACATTTTTGAATTTAAGTGAAATAATATTTATTAATTACACACAGACTTAAAAAAATAAAAATAAAAAACAGTGTATTTATTTGCATACTCTGTCATTAACTGTGGCCCTCTGCTGGAATAGTGAGCAGAACTATATATATATATATATATTTTTTTTTTACTTCTCAGGTCGAACTCCTGTAGAATTAAACACGTAGAAAAACACGTTACTGCTCACTATCTCTCTTCGTTAGTTTTGTTTGTTTGTTGTGAATTTCGCGCAAAGCTACACGAGAGCTTTCTGTGCTAGCCGTCCCTAATTTAGCAATGATAGACTAGGACGGAAGGCAGCTCTAGTCAACATCACCCACCGCCAATTCTTGGGCTACTCTTTTAGCAACGAATAGTGGGATTGACTGACACATTATAACGCTCCCACGACAGAAAGGGCGAGCATGTTCGGTGAAAGGGACTTGAACCCGCGTCCCTATGATTGCTGGTAGAGCGCTCTAACCACCAAGTCATGACAAGCCCTTAACATTCGTAGGCTGGGTCATACTGATGTCTTCCCCTCAGCACACTGAAGGACGTTTCTGTTTTTCCGCAAGCAGAAGAAATAATATAAGATACAAAAAAAAAAAAATGGGGAGAGAGACAAGGGTTCGAACCGAGAAATTCCAACGGTCCTGCACCAAGTGTTCTCATGCCAAAACTATATGATATTATGATCATATATCACAAGGTGCCTTACACACGTAGTCTCATTTGAAACACAAAACCAAAATAGGAGATGGCCTACATGGTGCTCCCTTTTTTAAATATCTGTAGAGCACTGACATTTAAAAATTACGCTAAGTGGCCCTTGATTTGTATCAAAGAAAAGGTTTAATGACTGGTCATTGAAGATAACCTACCACTTATACCAACTTTGACCAGCATCTATACAATATTCTACCATTTACACCAACTGTAGTCAGCATCTATACAATATTCTACCACTTACACCAACTTTGACCAGCATCTATACAATATTCTACCATTTACACCAACTGTAGTCAGCATCTATACAATATTCTACCACTTACACCAACTTTGACCAGCATCTATACAATACTCTACCATTTACACCAACTTTGACCAGCATCTATACAGTATTCGACCATTTACACCAACTTTGACCGGCATCTATACAATATTCTACCACTTACACCAACTTTGACCAGCATCTATACAGTATTCTACCATTTACACCAACTTTGACCGGCATTTATACAGTATTCTACCATTTACACCAACTTTGACCGGCATTTATACAGTATTCTACCATTTACACCAACTTTGACCAGCATATATACAATACTCTACCATTTACACCAACTTTGACCAGCATCTATACAGTATTCTACCATTTACACCAATTTTGACCAGCATCTATACAATATTCTACCACTTACACCAACTTTGACCAGCATCTATACAGTACTCTACCATTTACACCAACTTTGACCAGCATCTATACAATATTCTACCACTTACACCAATTTTGACCAGCATCTATACAATACTCTACCATTTACACCAACTTTGACCAGCATCTATACAATATTCTACCATTTACACCAACTGTAGTCAGCATCTATACAGTATTCTACCACTTACACCAACTTTGACCGGCATCTATACAGTATTCTACCATTTACACCAACTTTGGCCTGCATCTATACAATATTCTACCACTTACACCAACTTTGGCCTGCATCTATACAATATTCTACTTACACCAACTATGACCAGCATCTACAGAGTACTGAGGCACATATTTTGTCCTTCTCTTTTTAAGGTGATATATTTGTAATGAATACTGTCCTGGATCCTGAAGAAGGGACTCTGTAATTTGGCGCTCCAAATATTATTATTATTTTCTTTTTTAGGTATTTAATATCAAAAATGTTCATCAAACTTATGTAAGAAAATAAATGCATTCGAATCTAAAACAAAGTTAGCAGATAAAGCGTTACCGTTTATACAACATACAGAATGTACCGCCAAATAATACTGGGAAGGTAACTAGAAATATATTAACGAATCAGTATTGAAAATAACTGTACTTCAAATTTTCTTCATATCGAAGTTCAACAGAACAAGCTTCAGAATAAATAAAATATACGAAACTATATTATGAGTTTAATCGGGATAGTTTTATGGAATATTGTATATCTTTGAGCAACATTAATTTGGACGTATGTTTTAAAGCACAAGATTATGATGTAAATCTTATATTTTTTATCTCTCTCTCTTTTTTTTTTTCGTATAGTTACTGACCCACAAGTGGCACGAGATTCTGGTGCTAACTACATGTGCTTACCAAGCTATCCATGGGCCAATCAAAGGTTCCGAGGCAAGCCTGGAGCAGGACATAGCAGCAGGCCTCTGTCGTCTTCAGACATGCCTAGCTGCTATGATGGGACGACCAATTACATTAGACCAGCTGCGCTCAGAAGCTGGCCCTCTGGTGGAACACCTAACACAGCTTAGTTCTGCATTTCGCCGGATGAGGTTGTGTATTGAAGAATACGTTTGCCTCAAGGTGATCATCATGCTGAACCAAGGTGAGGGGAAAACTACTACGCTTAAATGTCATTGCAAGACCCCCCCCCCAGAACCTTCTCCCCCTCTTTGCAAAGGCATTTTTTTTTCTTTTATAGATATACATTTAAATTATTACATTGGATAAGTAATTTATTGATAGCTCAGTAAATATGAAAACAGCTTAAACAGTTACACTTAGCAAGTAGAAACAAATAAAAATAACTTTTAAACATTAAGTAATGGAGACGATCCATAGCTTGTACGTGGATAGCTTTAAAAAAAAAAGATAAATATGGTCTAGCATTATTCAGCTGTAATAAACGTCAATTCTAAGAACTTATAAGTGAAAGCAAAGAAGAATATGCAATACTATGTCAATCACGCTATATCTTCTACAACCAATGCCAACGAGGCCTTTCGTCCAATACCAGGGCTCATTCTTAGGAATACAAATGCCTTTTACCAAGGTAGTTAGAAAATGGTTTGCGACCAGCTTTTCTTCTATAGTTTTTAGCTTGGTTGGTGGGCGTCAGTGAAACGCGGTTATGACTGACAATTGGGTTCTAACCCTTTAGGGTTAGTTGGTTCTTGGTATACTTTTATACAATGTTCGGATCAAACATTTTCATTAATATTAGTTCAATTTTTATTCAGTTCCATACTTGACCCTTTTTGCGATAACCTCGTGGATCACTAAAAACGATTAAGAACAATCCAGAAACGACATCAAATCTTGAGAACAAATTCTAATTCATGAGAGAAAAGAACTTTTTTTGTTGAAAGAGTTTGAATTTTTATGTCGCTTTTTTGTACTTTTATTTAAATTGTTACCTTTAAACATGCATCTATTGATTAGTAAGCCAACTTCAAGACCTAGTTTTGTAACAACACCGTACGTATACAGTTGCGTGTTACGTTGTTACACAGTTTCGAAACTAATCATTTACTTATCATTCATTCTTTTTACAGGGAATGGTTTTGACTTAAAATCTCTTTTGTTCTCTGTCAATAAATAGTCTGCAGCTAACGTTACTAAAATTCTACCCGGGTATATATATATGTTGACTATAGAAGTTGACCTAAGACTTACAGTTCCAATTGTTAAACCTTTAAACCTCAGAAGGTTTGTAAATCAAAGTGTACTAACTGGCTGAAACTGAAAATGTTCGAATTGTATCTCCAGGAATATTGTAATAATCAGAATTACTAACTAGGTGTAACTTGAAATGTTCAAATTGCAGATCCAAATAGCTGTTAATAATCAGAATGACTAATTAGGTGTAACTTGAAATGATCATATTACAGGATCCAGGAATCTTGTAATAATCAAAATCACTAATTAGGTGTAACTTGAAATGTACATATTACAGGTCCAGGAATCTTGTAATAATCAGAATTACTAACTAGGTGCAACTTGAAATGTTCAAATTGCAGATCCAGGA